TAACAGCATTTCATGCATGCTCAAGAAGTGTTTTAAAAGTAATTATTTAAAAATCTTCCTGTAAATCAATTACTATTAAACCTATAATCCTGTCTGCTGTTAAAAAAAAGATTAAATACATCTAAAAGTCCCTCCATATTCAACTCTTTACCAAAGTACTAGAAAATATAGCTCTTGCTCATATCTGGAGCTTACATTGACCATGTAAAAGAGTAATAAAATTAGAAGTGATTTAAAAATCTGTCTTTTTATTCATTAATGGCACAATATTAGAAATGACAATGAACATGAGTATTAAATTTGGTTGGCATTATTGTGTTTTTTTCTTTGCCTGCTCACGACTTGATTTTTATTACATTAAGAGAGAGATTAATCATACAGTAAGGCATGGATGAGCTGTAGTGAAACAAAATTAAAATCAAAGTCAGTGTTTGATTCTCTGTCCAGATTTCTGAAATCAAAGCACTCAATTATAACTAAAACAGCAGCTGTAGATGTTTTGAAGAAAGTTAACCAGTTTGATTACCTAGGATCCTCCTGCCAGAGGTCTCTTGACTCTTTGCTAATGTGTGATTTATATTCTCTCCAAGGTGAGCTAAGTTTGAGTCTTAAGAAAAAAATAAAGAGGAAAAAGAGACTATTTTTAACAAATCAATGGTCTCACTTCAGAGGACTGTTTTGTTCTTAAATATGAGGCAGTATCTCAGAGTTGAGAAATATCTAGTCCTAAGCCTCATTCTGCTCTTTGAAAAGGACTCACAAACTGGTAATTGTAGGGATATTTCTTTCAGCTAAATTAATTTGAATGTCAGTCTTGTACTGATTTCCTGCTTTGTTTTGTAGAAATTTGTTGGCTATTTTCCTAAAAGCACAGTAAGTAGAAAGATGGTTTTAATCAAATCAATGTTTCCCTCTTAAAGAATCAGTCATCCCCTGCACAGATCATATATTCTTACAAATAAAAGTAAAATATTAAAATTATGCTAGTATACAAATTATGCTTGAGATTTGTGTGTTTTCATATTAGATTTTGGAATTAAAAAAAATCAAATCAGTCTCTTAATCTATTAATGGTTCAACATAATCCACCTAAATCCCCAAATAATTGTTTACGTATAGTATCTGGGAGGTTGTAGAGACCCAGTCAATCTGACAGACTAACAGTGCTCCCTCCCCTTCGATCATGCACTGGGCGTTCAGACAAAAAGAGGAACGAACAGCAGTAAGATTAGTCAGTGTCTGTATTTTCCCACATTATAAAGGTCAGATGACTTTAAGAGCTAGAGAGGTAAATTTTACTTGTTTTATTTATTAACCACATTTTCAGTTGTGATTCCTCATTCCTTCTTCCTCTAAAAGAAGAGAAAATAATACAGGTTGCCCTCGAGCTATTAGTCAAGTGACCTACTTTCAGACATCCCTCTTCTGGGTTAGGCCAACTATGATTTTTCCCAGATGACCATATTCTCTTTTATTCCCATACAGGCATTCCTAGAGTTTTAAAAGGAAATTGTGGAGTTCCTCCAAAATCTGTGGTCAGAACACAAATATTTTGAAATAGTCTCCTTCCCAGCCTGCTGCAGTGATCAACATCACCAAGAGTCCTTTGTAGAAGAGAATCTTTGAAAGATTGGTAAGAGAAGTTTTTTGAAATCCTGTTTTGCCATCCATCATACTCTTTCATAGGACAAATTGTACATGATTCACATGCTTTCAAGTATTTTTTTTTCCCTATGTCTTTAGAAGTCTAGGTCCATTGCTGACACTCGAAATATTCGTAAATATGAGAAGGTCATCACGACACCCACAGGATGCAGGAATGGAAAAAGTATTTTAGAAAGGACAAACTACATCATGCACAAATGGAAATAAAAGTCCGTATCTCCTCCCTCGTAGGAGAAGGAACATGTAGGTCATTTTAAAATTCTGGTGGGTTTGACATTAGCATGAAGAGGGCCAGGACTTGTGAAATTCTTTTTGCCTGAAATAAAAGGAGAAGTGGAAAGGGAAACGAAGCTATAGATTTTTCCTAATTAAAATCTCTATGCTAAAATGCCTACCACACAAACACACACATTAAATATTATACATATACTTAAAGAAAATATGTGCTAATTCATTACTTCTTCCTTTCCTCTTGTTTTATATAATAAAGCAGTGGTGATCAACATTGTAATTTGGTGTTTGCATCAGCAGCATCCAGCTGAGGCTGCGACTGGCTCCAGAGGAATTGATGTCCCCTGAGGATGGATAACAGCACAGCTGTCAAGAGATACGGCGACTACAGAAATTTCTGTCTCTCCTTTTGGAGTAGGTGCTAAGAGCATCCTTCTTTGTATTAAGGATGGTCGTTAGCTGTGTCATATTGAGTGGAAGCATATATTTGTTGTTTTATGGGAGGTCAAATATGTGTAGAAACATATGTATGAATGACTACATTGCATTAAAGTAGCTTGCAAATGTGTCCACAAAGTGAACATTTTTATACTGTGTTCTCACAAATTTTCCAAATATTTTCTTTTTCTAGGATAATTTGAAAATATGGCTTCCATCACTACCTACATTCGATATCTTCATCTAGTACCAGTGTGAAGAGTCCTAAGTTTCTGTCACAGTAATTTGTGAAGGGGAACCAGTATTTGCTTTGCTGGCCCATGGAGACTTATGTCTCTGAAAAAACTCTAACCCTGTGCCCCAGCGATGACCTCTGGAAGGGAAGGCTCACAGAGCACCCATCACTGCAGCTAGATGTACCTCTTTGAGGATAATTGATGGCCCATTTCTGGGCGTTGGTGGAGAGATTTCCTGCACTGAGGGACAACATATTATTCTGAGAACTAAAACACCTATTAGGTTATGGCTAATGTTAGACATTCCCACAAGGCTACAGCCTTTCAGCAGAGTTTATTGGCAAAATGGAACAAGTATACACACTAATGTGCTCCTGGATGGGGCTCTGATATGTGGGCATGAGGGTGGAGGAAGGGGCTGCTTAGGGAGGTCAGTGTACCCATGGCCAGATGG